GTAAAAGCAATTTCTCAATGAAAACAAAACAAACAATCATTTTAAACTTTATTTGTTTACAGTTTGGGACAATTTGTTTACGTGTTTAAAATTTGACGTGTATTGCTTTTATTTTGGAAGAGCTATTAACATTTGAAGTACGCGAAAAAATTCCAAAAACTTTTGTTACACACTGTATAGGGCCTTGGTTTTCAGCCCGTATTTCAAGTAGTCTGGGTATACAAAGATAATATTCGCCAAGACAAGGCGGCTATCATATTCAAGCTCATTTGAAAGAGGTTCTGCTGACTTGATTTAGAAAGAAAGGAATATTCCTCACGAGACTTCCCCCCAGTGTTTAGAAAATATCGTAATTGACTGTTGAGAATCCTTTTTGGAATGGAGCTTCATCCTGAATTTTTTTACGATTGTTCATAACGAATGTCGTAGAAAGTTTCAAGGACTCATTTAAGTTTGGTATCATTGCGTTGAGATATAGCGCGCATAGATTTTCTCGTTTGACACTTTCTTTTTCGACGGCGCTAAGGCACCGATTGTATGTCCATCGTGCTGTTCCCATCCATCTTCTGAGTTTCAGCCGCTCCTGCTGGTTGGGATAAATGCGAATACGTTGTACCTTGCCTGCTGAAGGTTTCTTCACTTCCTTCTTGAACCTCTTGGGCGGCTTCTCTTCTCCTTCTGCGATTTGCGGCTGAACATAGTCCATTATGTTGCGCCACAAACACTGACAATTGCGAGTAGGTCTTTTGCGAGCTCTCCATTGGCATAAACTTCTGAACCGAGAACCACGAGTCGTGTCCCATTTTTTTTAAAGATCCAAAGCGACACAAGTGGTCTTTTCGGGTAACCACCACTTCTTCGGGTATATTCGTTCCAAAAAGGTAACAAACCCCCCTGCGTTTCCAATTGAGCCCTCAACCGATGTCACTGATAATTTCGTGTCCTGTGATCTGTCCGTAGGTTGGGGAGGTGAGGACCTCCTTTTGTTTGAACCCTTTTTTGGTGGTGATTTTGGCGGCGGCGGCGGAGAGATTATGTGTTTACGATTTTGATTTTCAAATGAGCAAAATATTGCAATGGTTAAAGAGTTTGGGGGATAATAATAATGTCTTTAAATACGTTTATGGTTGTCGGTATTTGAATGACGGAACCGAAACCACGCATAAAACATGCAATCTTATATGGAGTCTACGCGCATAACAATGTGGTTTGTTTAAGAATGTGAGCTAACCGTGTTTATTATTATAAAATTTAATTTTCCTTATTTGCATTTTAGACTTGTAGTACGAAAATTGTGGTTTATTCTGGAATGTTCGAAAATGCACAACGGTCCCTTTTTTAAGAATGTTGGCTGAGTATAACATTACTTATTATGGAAAAATTATTAATTCCTACTCACATTTAATTTGTCCACAATATTTTTAATCCAACGTATCCAAACTTTACTGAAACATACTAAAATTTAGGTTTACGCGGTACGTATTTTATAATGGTCATTATACAGTTCACTGGTTTTACATCATACAATAATAAGCGGTAATAGCATTTTCATGTAAAAATCGTAATTCACGCTATGCAAATTCCGCACTTCTGGCAAATAATTTATTGCTTCCTTTATTAATTCCTAAAATAAGCGCCTTCAGTGTTCATTATAAATAATAAAAAAACGCATTATTGCGGGTGATATTTTAATCAAAGTGTGAGACATTGTTGCAATTGAAACTAACAAACTGGAAACGATGAGGCAGTATGCTGAACTATCGTGCTATCGAGAATGAAACAATTCTATGAAAGAAATTATTGTATCCTTTATTTTAATAAAGCCATTGACTATCAAATGCTTCAAACAAAGCTTGCCTTTATAATATAATTATAAATTCATATTTACTGTACATAAAGATGGAAATAAAATATCACCACGCAAATCAATTAATAATTGATCTACAGCTCAAGAGCGAATGAAGCCTCGTATGTTTTTCCGGTCAGTTTGTTTTTAGCTTGTGCTTTTACTTCCATTTTTCCAAATGTAAGGCTAAAATCTACCGGCCGAGCGAGTCCGAGATTAGTGTCAGGTAACTCTACAGTAAACGATATATTAGTAAGAAATACTGACAAAACAATCTGCCAATAAGCATAGAAAGAATGTTTGTGTTCACAACTGCGTTTACACACAATTTGTCTTTCCTTTCACAACACACAATTTGTCTTCCCTTTCGCACTACTCTAATCATCAACAACTCACCAATAGAAAGCTGTCCAAACAGTTCCATGCCAGAGTCATCACAATACTTTGCTGTATCTCCATAGGTGGTGTATATGTCAATCTTCATTTGAGTCTGATTAGCGTATGATGGCACCAACTCATAACCAAATTTAGAATCGACGGGTACTTCCATGCCACGCTGGGCAAGACATTTGAAGACGTTTATACGACCACGAGTAGTGCGACGATGAGGCGGGTCTCCTGGTTTCCATTCTGGAGAAACTTCAATACCGTATGTGCGTTTAAGGACACGAGTTGTTACCGTACCCATATCGAGACCTGTTATAGAATGATTGACGGATCGCGAGTTACAAAAACGATTGCACACGATATACTAATTCACAATATCAGCTTTCTCCATAACAAGTATTTTCTCTTTCCTCACATACCATAGTACACCGCGCCCCTTATGACAGCAGCAATGGGTTCGGCTGGAACTGCAATAGTACCAATTTTGCTTGAGAACTCACTCCTAATTCTCTGTAGTAAATACATTGAATCTGAAAATCCTCCGACCAAGAATATTGCTGATGTAGCTCTCGACTTCTCCAGTTGGGCCTTTATCAATTGTAAAACTCTGTCAACAATTGGATCAAAGAAACTTTTAACAGTTTCGTAATCCAGCTCGATCATCCATTCTGCTTCCTCCATACGTTCTTTTTCCTCTCCTTGAACGTATTGCATCAATACTGGACAGATTTCTTCAATATCGAAGTCCTTCGCATTAAATTTGTCACTATCCCCATCGAACTCAAATTTGATTCTAGCGCAGAATTGTTGAATCATGTACTGCAGAGAGGTATAGTGTTTTTCCTCGAGAATACGCACAGCCGATTTGCCTACTACTGATGCAATATATTTTATGAATTCACGATCAACGTAGGTGCTGCCGCAAAAGTCACCAGTACGTTCGGTGATTTCGGATAGTTTGTTATCAGCAAGAAGGGTGCGTGTTGTGAGGTCTACTGTGCCTCCACCGCAGTCTACCACTAAGAAAGTAGCTGTAGGCCGTTTTTTGTAATTAGTGATCATAATGTCTCAGTGAATACGTAAATGCAAATATTTCTATCATACTTACAGCCTGCGTTAAGATTATGTTCTTTCAACACTCTCATGCAATATATCGCAGCCGCCTCGGCTATTAAAAAGGAACATTATTAACATATTGAAAATACTGCCAATTTGATTAATATCAGCATATATTCTTACGTTCACTGGTAAACTCTAAGCCTTCCGAGTTCAGATTGTTTATTATTCCCGCCTCAAATGCGCATGTACGCATAATATGCCGTGCTTTCTCATCATATTCTGCGGGTACAGTCATGATTTTGATTACGTGCGAGTGATAGTCAAGTTTCGGCCATCTTATTTGTACTGTCTCCGTAATAGACTACGAAGTAACGATATGAACAACAAAAAGGTTTAACAAAAACCACGAATAATGAACAGACGTCAAAAGGCGATGATAGCAATCAAGACGTGAAACTTTAGTCATAAAGCTCATCGGATTTGTCCATCATTTGGCTATTGGGAAAGCATATAAAACGGACATATTTCTTTCTGATTGTTACGCATAATCTCCAAGACATGAGTATAAGTGTGATCATTACCCACCTCATTCAGTTTTCTAAGATAATCTGTAATTGCTTTTCGATAGTCTAGCCCCTTCGGCAACCTCGGTTTTTTATCATTAGCCATGTTGCCCAGATGCAATTTAAACAGCTCTACGGGACGAGCCTCACTCTGAGCAAATAATTTCTTCTTTTTGGGACGCTCGGCCAATGCAGGATTTCCCCACTTGCTTACTTTCCATTCATTGTCATATTGGAGAACGGTATTCGTTTTCAGCTGACCCTTTTGTTCTGGCCTGGGGAAAATGAGAGTGAGAGACAAGTTATAAGCGGTAGTAATATGTACCATCCCCAACTACGTAAGATGTTATATCCTAGGCGCTTAATATGATCATACCATGTGTCTTGGGTTTCGATTTGATCCGGATTTGCTTTGTTGGCAAAGGCAAAGCCTATTGAGAGTATATAGAACATTAGTCTTGAGATTTAGATACATTTTATACATTATAGCGTTACCTGAGAAGGTTGTGCCAAAGTCTACGAATTCAAATCGAATAAAGTTAATTATTGCTTTTTCTTGATTCTGACATCGTCACAATCCAAACAAATGTATTTCACATTGACGCTCTTCCTTCTATCTTTTGCTCCATACATACCGATACCGACTACAACACGGAAATCCTTTTTGGCGACATCCGGTAGTGACCAGAAAGACAAATCAGACATGATTATTATAATACTCTACAACTATGAGTGTTATTAAAGATACGAACAGAATAGCAAAATCATAAGGAACGTTAAGGTGATATTTATTTTACTGCGGCGATAATTAAATTTAACGCCGGAGTTATTGAACAAAGATCCCGACTTTAACATCAGAAATGACTATTTGGTCACGAACTGACATAAAGTATACAAATAAGAACAATAGCAAATATATAAGGAAAGAAAATAATGAATGGAGTGCGTTCTCCGGAGTTGTATGACAATCGGTGTAATAATTTGTTGCCGGAGAGCAAGCTTATTTGTTCCGGATTATCGCCAATAGCAGCGAGTGCTAGTATAACGTAACAATCGAGTATAAATAAACACTTCTCTTCTTTTTTAAAACTTATGCCCTTGAAGAACAAGACGCTACCATAACAATATTCAGACATTGATCGAATATGACACGTACTAGTGATAGTGATGTTGACATGACAGATAACGATACTCAGCCAATGACACAACTTAGAGGGACGGAACTTCTAAGCAACATTGAGCGTAGACTATTAGATGCTGGAACTAGCGAGAGACACGATGAAGGAAACAAAGACGATCATTTAAGCACGAAACCAAGCGGAGGTCATGGCGATTTGGACGAGAATCCAGACGAGAATCCAGACAAGAATCCAGACAATAATCCAGACAAGAATAATCCAGACAATAATCCAGTCAATAATCCAGTCAATAATCCAGTCAATAATCCAGTCAATAATCCAGTCAATAATCCAGTCAATAATCCAGACAATAATAATCCAAACGAGAATCCAGACGGGAATCCATCGTTCAAGAACTCGGGTCTAGACGACGATGCGGACGACGATCCGGCTAAGATGTCAGACTCCACGAAGCAAAAGAACAAACGTGATTCTGAGATATTGCCCGTTAGGACTCATGATGAAGGTCAAGTTCATACCGATGACCCGGTTCAGTTGCAACAAAATTCAGTATCAAATCCAGGACGCCCTAGCCAGCCTAGTAATCATCCAGGAACGCAAAACTTCAGTAATCATCCACCACCAAACAGCTTTAATGTTGATGGCAACGAACACCATAGTCAAAGCGTACTTCCTGAAAATCGTCGCGAAAGTATAATGGCACAAGTAAGCGGTACCCGTAGAAACAGACAAATACTCAGTGAATTATCCGCAACAATCAGGAACCAATTAGATATGACTAAGGATGCGAAAAATGGATCTGAGCTGGTAGATCGTGTTAACGCTCTTGAAAGCACGCTAGATAGCATTTTTAGGGCCCAAGAAGAATATCTTAAATATTTAGAGGTTTCGCTGAATGAAAAACAAGAAAGATGTGTAGAATTGAATGAGAAATGGTACAAAGCGGATAATCAATGCAGAGATTTAGAAATTCAGCTCAATGTAACTAAAAGCCTCTTTGAAACCAGCCGAGCACATTCAAACAGAGACATAAGAGAGTATCATGGGGACAGCAAAGAGATCATGGCAGAGCTTCAGCGTAAAAAAGAAGAACTCCTGTACTATCAGCGTGAAAGCGACGAAAGATATGCTCAGCAGTTGCAAATTAACGAAAGGAACCAACAAATTATTAGTCATTATAGATGTAAATATGATTACGGAATTGAATCCGATAGTGAAATTATGTCGTTACGCCAGCAGAAGCAAGTATTAGAAACCCAGCTTCGCGAAGCGCGTATTAACCTTAACTCTTACAAGCATGCATATCAGAATGAAAAAGCAGATCGTAAACACGGGGAGGACAATTATCGTCGTGAATTTCAACAAATGCAACAAAGATATAAAGATTCTGAGGCCAGAGCGTCTGAATTGCAGAGGAAGAATAATCTACTCAAGGAGGAAGCTACCAGTTATCAAGCTGCTCTTGGCGATACTACTAATGTCAGATGGGGCGATAATGATAAGAATTATTCTGTCCAGCTTGGAAAGGACATTAATAAATTGCAAATAAGTCTAAAAGAGTTTACTCAATTAAAAGGCCCTAAACAAAAAATTGCTCTCGATCAACAAGGGATTAATATTATATTGCAGAGATATGACTGTCGCGTTGACCCTACAACGAAGTTAATCATCAGCGGTGCATTACAAAGGTATATAATTGAGAAAGTGTTGAAACATACAAAGATATATTTCGATAAATGTATCGAGGATCTGGATTGGAAAAGTAATAAGGAGCTTTCACAGTACACTAAGGCTGATCTAAACTATTTCTTGGAAGGACTCATCTTGAATACAACATCCAGTTTGGAGCATTATATAAACGAGTTTGCTGAGACACGCAAAGGAGGGGATGAATTGACGCGTATGACGGGAGTGAAGATATATCAACAAGTATATGCTGTACTTGGCAATCGTGGGTTTGCGTCCGACAATCATTCATTTTTAGTAAAAGCGGTCAAGAATATAATGATTGAGCTCGAAAGATGTCGTCAGATTAAGGATGAATCGAAAAAGAAAGATATCGAAGAATTAGCTCCTTCCATCATCCTTGAGATAATTCGTATATTTTATTTCAGATTCCGGACTCAAGTCCCTGTTGTTGAGTATCACTTTTTCAAGAGTGGAGACAAGTTCGATTCCGCCACAATGGAATGTGCTCAAGATGGCGACGGAGAGGATGACAAGCAAGTTGTTGAGATATGTTCGTTCCCACTGATTGGAGTGAACATTGCTGATAAGAAGAAGAGACAGATCTTCAACAAAGCGAAAGTTCAATTGAGACCTATTTCTTCTTCCAGTAGTTGGAGAATTTTTTGATATTGATTATGGGAGATGTGTTACGTCCACTTGATCGTTATTTAATGATTAGATTGTATGCATTTTCTCATGTACATAAATAATACGACGTTTATCATAAATATTTATATCAGTCTTGCGTTTATTTGTGTTACTATATGAGTCGCCTATTGATTTGACGCTGCTATCATATGTAATAAGCTTGGGGAGTCAACTGTAATACAATCAGCAGAATTTTTTGGTCCATCCATTTGATTTGTGCCTCATATTGTTATTGGGATTTTTAACAAGAATCGTGAGAAGTATGATTGTTAATACATTATCAACTATCCTATCTTTAGCTTATTGTTGTCCTCTTACAATTGCATTAATAATTAGACATATTATGTGATGTGACTGAACTTCGAGATGGGAACCGGTTGGCCGTTTAGTTTCAAACTCGGTTTTAAATTGGTTCAATTTTAAATTCGGTTTTACTTTTTTGAGAAACGATATTCGGGTTGGAAATTTAAATCGAATGTCTCACAAATCCGGTTGTTGAAAATTCTTTATAACTATAACCGGTTGCAAATTAAACCCCGAATTTATGCAAACCAAATGTTTGATTTAAACCGGGCCTAAAAATAAACCGAGTTGAACCGGTTTTCGTGATGTCTGATTTAAACCGCGCTAAAAATAAACTCGGTCATTCGAGTTGAACCGGCAACTATATATTGCAAAAAAGACCATTTGAACTCTACCTAATGATTATCGATATCAACTAATCCAGTAACACTTGATGAAGAGGATGATAATGATAATTCTTCAGGCAATTAGGAACAGTGAATCACCGAACATCAGCTTCAGATGAATTAGATGAAGTTGTACGATACTTGGCTCTTGATAGTATCGGTCTTAATGACGATCCATTAAAATGGTGGCAAAATCATAAAAATAGTTTACCAGTTCTTGCACAACTGGCGAGGGAATATCTTTCAATTCCTGCAACTTCAGTCCCTTCTGAGAGACTATTCTCAGATGCTGAGAATCATATAACAGCAAAGAGAACGCGTTTATTACCGAATTTAGTAAACAATTTTTTGTTTGTTTTTTTTTTTAAAGAGAAATTCGGAGTGTGTCGAAATATTCCGCCACAATAAAATTTGGTTTGGTATAGTTAACAATTGATCGGACAGTTATGAAAGATAGTATAATCTGATTGCTAACAAAGACAATTTAAAACCGAGAACCGGTTTAACTCGAGTAAACCGAGTTTATTTTAGGCCCGGTTTAAACAGACATTCGGTTGGGACGAAAACCGGTTCAACTCGAATAAACCGAGTTTATTTTTAGCGCGGTTTAAGTCAGACATTCGGTTGGGACAAAAACCGGTTCAACTTGAATAACCGAGTTTATTTTTAGGCCCGGTTTAAATCAAACATTCGGTTTGCATAAATTCGGTTTAAGTCGGATTTAATTTCACACGGATTGACCCGGTTACATCCGGTTGCAAA